AAAATTGGAATTTCTGTAGCCGACAAGAACTTCACACTACATGCCCCTTGCACACCTAGGAATGGAACGATCGATTGAAATGGCTAGGGTAAATTGGGAAAAAAATGCGCTCGCAAACAGGCTACTAACACTGACGATTACGCGCCATTACAGATTTTTACCGCGAAATCAAGAAGCAGTTGAATGGGCTTATCAGAGTGTAGCGCGAAGATAGAGCGGGCTTGCTTCTAGCGAAGATCTGTGGTAATAAATGCACTTCGATTTTAATATAAAAAAATCCTGTAAGAATCAAGAAGTGGGTGAATCTCAACGGAGCTAAAATAAGCAAATACGATTATTAACTATGTGATGATCTGCATTTTTTATATCATTATAAGATTACTGACAAAAAATTGGTTTGAACCTCGGAAATATACTTTCACTTTTCACGAATTACTTTCGCTGTACCACTATGAACAGTTCTAACAAATAGTATATGGCACTTCCAACTCGTCAGTTCCACGGCCAAAGCAGATGTTCAAAAGCTTAACTCACCCTCTCAAGCAGATCTACTTGAGTGAAGAAACCGTCGCTGTTCACCCGATAGTCAAGCGGATTGATAAACCCTGTCTGGAGCGGTGAAAGAATAAAAGCACCGCAACCGTATCCACCAACAATCATTCCTCCGGCTAATCCGACGTTATCTGGGAACCACTGAAAACATCAAATCAGTTATTTCAAAGAAAAATTGCTATAAAATCGCGATTTCATCATGAAGTCCAAACCACTCACTCGTTGAGCTGTGGTTAAAATAGCGTTGTAGGCTATACTGCTACCGAAGCTGGCGAAAAATCCCATCGACACCAGAACTGCAGCGAAAGAATGCTGTATGGTGAAGTACGTCAGGGCTATGCATGACCTTGAATCGGACTTTTTGAGGAAGTGTTGGCCACATTTTTACAATATTTACACTTAATTTTTCTTTTTTTAATTCTGTGTTACATGGGGCGAAGTTGAAAGCGATCCAAACTAACACAGCTATCACGCTCATTGTCTGCAGGTTGAGACGGGAGACGTTAAGATCTCCTTCTAGGTCAGGTCAGCAGAGCAGAGCTGCGCGATGATTGAAGCCTAAGGTCAGGTTTGAGCTCAGGCTTAAGCTTATGATTTCACGCTCGCATATGTTTAGGTCCATGGTGTAGGCTTAGGCTTAGTCCTACGCTTATTACAAGCAAATCAAAGGTGTTTTTCCCTGACCTGAGGAGGAAGAACTGCAACGCACCCGGTTGAGCCCAGGGCAATGTGGTCGATTGCTGGTGACGTATTTGCCCGAAAGTAGCAAAACAAAGCCCTGTACTCTGGTTGGGCACTGGATACTAGGGTAAAGGAAAGCAAGCTTGAAAATTTTTCGAGCTGGAGGCGAATGCGTGTGGCGCATCTTTAAAAGCAAATAGGCAACGCCTAGTGCCTCACTGGCAACTTACACCGGTCTTCTTTCTCTTATAAAGAGTAACTAGTTTAAAACAACTAGTTCCTAACGAAAAAGTTTATTTCTTCATGCCGACAATCTGGAAGCCGCTGCTTCCAAACGGCTTTGCCTTTTCTGGCCCCCCATTTCATATCCCCAGAGTTAGCGTGCGGGTGATTCGCCGCTATTCTGCTATGAATTCACGTGAAGTGCTTCAGAATGAGCTCAGCTGCACCTGCGAATGACCCTAAATGCATGCGCGTTTACGACTTGGAATCGTATGCACACCAACCCCGTAATGAAAGGCCCGTAAAAGCTGCGATGTGAATCTTACACCCATCTAACCACCGTAATCCTGCTTCATCATAAACCCACAGCATTACTTGAAGGTCTGTTATCCTACCCATTTCCATCAGAGTGGTTTGGGTCTCTGAAATATTTCCATGACCATCAGAGGCGAGGCATTTCCCCAGAAATCATTACCCGGGTGCAGAGCCATTGCAGGGTTAGGGTTTCTTGCTCCTAGCCTGAGTTCTGGTAAAGACGGGGAATCGCAGAAATTTCATTCCAAGCGACTTGATTGAAGAAAATGTGTCCCATGAAGGCCGCTTTTAAACTCTTTGATTCTCATTGAAGAGCCCTTTTCATTTCTGAGATGTCGTAGGCGATGTCCCGGATGTGGGTCGTGATTTTGCAAGGCGCGGTACCGCGTCCGTAAGTGATGCGCTCCAAACAAATATCCCTAGTGAATGGGTAAGAGTTGACAGTTTTTGGGTGCGCTCGGTACTGGGGATTTGTCGGTAGCGACAGCGCGAGGCAAACATAAGGCAGTGGTGACTGATTGATGCCCAAATAGAGTGCTGAATACGTGCGTTGATGGCACACAACACAAACATCATGCGCATAAAGAATCACTTTTGTAACTCCTACGCCCCCCACATTCCTTCTGGCCGTCGACAAAGCGTGGGTATGAGTGTGTCCTCATGACTGCTGCGGAGATGTACACGCTATGACGAATTAACAAATCACACCATCCAACACACACACAACAATCAACGTCAAGGCACAGGTAATCCGTTGCAGACGATAGATTAGGTTACCGCATACAGCTGGCTAATTGCCGTGCACACGGCGCTAAGACAATTCGAGCTGTTCCGTATGGATGCCTCAAGCGGAGCCTTAATCAGGACGTCTACCACAATAAACTCACGTATAGAGGATTGAACCAAGTATAGCAGTTCGCCGTCCACCGAATCGTCGTTCCAGCACACCTCCCATCAGCATGGCAAATGGTACACCACCTGAAATGTAAAAACCGGCATATTTTTTTCTCTATGAGTAAGTTTTTGAAATAACCTGAACCTCAAAAAGTTACTTTTACTTTCTAAGCTACAGCAGAGTGTTTTTTTTTCTGTTCCAAAACCTGAGCAGGTGTTCAGCGAAAAAAACTAGAGTATTGCTAGAGTTCTTAGAGTTTGACTTAGAGATTAGAGTTGAGGGTTTTTGACCAATAGGACTTAGAGAGCTCAATTGCGGGTTACATCAGTGACTCAAAAAATTTGGCAAGGCAAATGCAATTTTCCTCGCTGGCTGATCTGACGAGACATAATTTTCCTCATTTCATTTCTTTCGCAATATTTTTTCGCGCTAGGAATCTTCATAAACTCATTTAGCAAATCCATCAGACACCTATTTACTATACCTCACCGGGTCATGGCACACGCTTAGGCCGATGTCAGACTTTGCGAATCGCGCGATTCGCTAGCGTCTGCGGTCGCGTCGCGGCCAGTGAATCACTCAATTGGCTGGTACCGCAACGCGACCGCGGACGCTAGCGAATCGCGCGATTCGCAAAGTCTGACATCGGCCGGACTTGGATTTTTGCCTATAAACTCAAGAGCCTTATGCCTTATTTAGAGAATCTACAGAACACTTTTGTTTTTCATATACGTATTTCTTTAATGTGACATTAGCACTTTCTCTTCCCAATTTCATTTTTTGGCCGAAACAGTTTGTAGCGACGCGCCATGATTCAGATTTTCATCAGAATTTGAAGATTGATATTACAAGGCCGAGAATAACAATGTCGTGATAAGTTAACATTCGTTTCTTTGTATCCAGTTATCAATTAGATAACTCCGAAAGGGGGGAGTAGTCCCTGGTCAGTGAAATCAATCCACTGATGAACACGAAAAGCATGTCTATGGGAGCGACGCCTATTGTGAGCGGATCACAACCCGGGTCAGTAAATCTAACCAGGAATAGAAACCATACATTTATTTCTCACAAAACAGAATGCCAGATAAGGTGCCATTACTATCGACAATGTCAGACCGTTCACGACATCTTCCCTCTCCTAAGAAATTTTTATGAGTTCTTTTCTCACTATTGGTTAATAATCCATGAATAATCTATACCCAGTAGTCGTTCAACTAAATAATTAGGTGAACAATAATCAAATGGTAAAAGTGACCGAATTTGATCAGACCCTACGAATTTCCCTGTCACAATCATGTGTTCACATGTGACTGCCGTTTCCTATCTTCGCTACAGACCTAGGCCGGTTCTGAGGAAAATGTCCATAAGAGACGGCGAACAAAAAACCAGCACCTTTTTGATTTGGCCGTTGTTGCACTTTTTATCAGGCAAGTTTATCGTTCCTTGATTTTTCACACAACATATTATGGCTATGTAGTTCCGTTGTTCTACCTATTTGGCCAGCTTAGTTTGTTAAAAGAAAACCTTTTTATTCTTCCGAATTTATCCGCTTTCCCTAAAGAACCTTTCGGTATATTCTCATCACACACAAGGTGAGATTCCCTAGTAATGTCTGAAGAGACGTGAGGGACGTAAGGTGTGAGCGATTGTGAAAAAGGAACACCCGTCAAGAATGAAAGGACTCGATTAGACAGCAGTGAGATGATTCAGAGCGAACTCTCTCGTACTCACTGGCACCGCCGTCCCGTCGTCAGCAGTATTCATTCACTGGCTAGCTGGCTCATTCACTCACTCATCAACGTCTGTAGCCAGATCAACTGTCCATCGCATTGTCGGAATTGATTAGCATCGAAAATATGACACATTTGTCACGCCCCGAAGGCAGGTTCCCTTAAAACAAGAAAATATTTTGGATACAAGACGAATACATTCATTTCTTAAACATGTTAATTGATTTATTTATTTACTTATTCATTCGTTTGAAGTGCACTATTGGTGGGCCAAACAAAACCAGAACATGTGTTGGTTGAGCATGAAGCGCAGAAAGAAAACAAACAATTTCAAGCATTAAAAAACAAAGCCACAGTACAAAAATACTACGGCAAGGAGAGAACATTCCTGTGACTATGGTAAGTGGCATCAAGCTGAGGACAACGAGACATCTTATCAGAAACCAAGAGACCAAGGTAACCAAAATAGCCGAAATCCCGCATAATGATATTTAAAATAAAACATTGCAGAAGAGGATGAGGAAGACGGAATCTCTCATCTCAGTCAAGTAATCATAGAGCAAGGGTTGAGTTAGAGAATTCGAGACCAGTTGGGCCCGTGAGAGGTTGGTACTCGATCTTAGGGCAAAAGCCAAGAAGTCAAAAGGTTAGGCCAAGAAAGCACTCTCATCTTTGAGCAAAATGCTAGGGTAACTGACTGGTAAGAGCTTCCCAACTATACGCCACGACCCCGCTTTTCGTTTCAATGTCATAGAACAAGGGAAAGAGTGACGAATAAGACTAGCGAGCTCCCCAGAAAAACGTCTATAAAGCAATTTTTCCATCGAGAGCGTATTGTGATTTCTTAATTTGGAACTTTAAAAGTCAAACATCCATGAAAGATATTCCGTACCTTATAAAGAGTACATTCCTAAACGAGTAGCAGAGATCGGTAATTCAAAGCAGCCAACGAACTTGCCATAAATATGCAATAATAAAAAAACCTAAGTGGTTCAAGAAATAGAAAAGTAGGAGAAGAAGCATGAATGTCGTTAACACGTCCAGTCTGAGATAAGATTTCAGGATTGACTCACAATCAGACATGGATAAAAAGTGATTGTGGCGGCGGATCCTGCAACTGCGCGGGACTAACGCCAGGGATAAGAGGAAGGTAAGAAATGGTCTTATGAGTGACAAGAGGCGCTGCTTACCCATCCGTTGTCCAGGAGTCTATTCCCGGAACGAATCTCACCTAGGAAAACCAAGCCTTCCACTTCCTCCGGGGTCGGTTAATTGGTACCAGACTTGTCTGGGAGGATAAAAACACTGACTTGTACATCGGCTGGCCCCACAAGTCATTGTATAGGCCAAATCGCATTCAAGATGCCTCTACAATTCGGAAAGGGGTTAGAATACGTGGCGCATCCCAGAGAGGGACTGGACGATGAGTGCATGACCCCTTTTTCAGATATCTATAGCAAAAGAAGTAACAGATAATGGAGGTCGAAAAATGCCAAGTCAGAGCTCGAACAAGTGCAGGAAAACTGTTTTACTCATGGAACAGACTTCAAACCATGGCGGACCGCGTGATTCACTGGTGCACCACGCGGCCACACCAAGATGGAGATATCCTGGGTTTTCCGACAACTTTCGGCT